CCTTTGGCCTTGCTCTATCTTTATAATCTTCCTGAATGGCCTGCCCCTTTTTCCAAAGGCTATAAACTATCTTTTTTTTCCTGAGCTGTGACCCTATCTCTTGGCTTAGCCAGGCCGGTCTTTTCCCTTGATGGCTCGCTTTACTGCACAGAGGGACAACTTGCGCCTGGGCTTTTAAGACTTTCTCCTTGAAAAACGTCCAGCCTTCCTGGACTCCTTTTCCCTTCAGGGCTGCCTCCCAAGGGACTCTGTCAAGCAGACTCTTAAAAATACCGAAGTCTGCCCTCCGGAAGACCATGATGGCAGTCCTGTTGGTTCCCCTTCTCGCCTCCCTAAGAATCTAAAACTTTATCATTTCATGGTCACTTTGCCCCAGATGGCCTCCAACTGTCACATCCCCCACAAGTTCTTCTCTATTTGCAAACACCAGATCCAGCAATGCTCCTTCCCTAGTCAGCTCCCTCAGCAGCTGTGTCAGGAAGCTATCCCCAACACACTCCAGGAATTTCCACTAATTTCAATGAGGCCGACAAAAGCCTTCTTTTCTCCCCTCCCTCCCCCAAGTTAAATAGTTCGAATGTGTGAATTCTCACCACATCTCTTTGAAAACATTTCTCTCACCTAATCCATATGACAATATTGGACTAAGTACCAAACCACATTTTGTTCTATTTAGCTTTGGAACATTCTATGGATACGAATTTTTGCCACAGAAGCATGTCAGTACAACATTGATGTTTATGGATGTGATGTGTACGAACTAAAATACTGTGAACACAAACAATGAGATCTTCTGAAATCCTTCTCTGAAAGAGTGATCATTTCTCTCATGGCACTGAGTTTGTTAAAGCTTAACGCATTTGGTGAATGATTGTTTTCCAAGCATTTGCCAACTTCATCATGCTGGCCCCTGAAAGACACGGGGTACCCTTACGTGACTGGAAACAGAAGTCATATGCTTTGAGATGCTGACATGGCATGAGAGGCTCAATCAGAATCATCTTTCTCCTCCATTTCTTGATCAATTTTTGGAGAGTGCTGGAAGACTGGTACACGGAGTGGCACTGTCCAGATGGAAGTTTTCCTTCGTGTTACAGGAGAAGCCCAAGGCAAAGGGACGTCACAACAGAGATGATACGCCAAAAAGCAGTCAACGTACTAGCACTAACAAAATCGCAAGTCCCCCAAGTCTCAAAATCTCAAGTTGCTGTTTCCATCCATCTTAAAAATGTTAACTAACATCCCTCTCCTGTTTCTGAATATCCAGCTAGCAAACTATCACTGGAGGCCTCATCCACCAGACAGTTGTCTGACAAACACTGTGTGACAAAAAGCAACGAGAAGATTCAAGAGCAGCATAGGCTGTGTGAATTCAGCGCTTGCCAACTATTTCAAGTGAGACACGGAGGTGCACCCAAGAAAAGTTAGAGAACTTGCCAAGTGATGTGTCGTGGCAACTCCGCCGGCAGTAAACCGCTTGAGCTTCAGCTAGAGCTGCATCAGAGATTCATAACAAGGAATCAGGCAATTAAACTTTAAACACAATCACATCTTTTACTAATAAGTCCATGGACCCTGATACACCTGTGAGTACTGAGAGAACTGGCAGATATTATTGCTGGACCACTCTTTGTCATATTTGAAAGCTCATGGAGAACAGGCGAGGTGCTTGAGGACTGGAGAAAGGCAAACATTGCTCCAGTCTACAAAAAGAGCATGAAGGAGGACCCAGGGAACTACAGGCCAATTAGTCTCACCTCCGTCCCTGGGTTGTTCTTGATGTCATCTCCAAACCTCTTAAAGAACAGGAAGCTATTGGAAGTGGTCAACACGGATCTACCAAAGGTAAATCATGCTTGACCAGTATAACTGGATGGCTGGATGAGGGGAGAACAGCAGGTGTCATCTACCTTGACTTCAACAAGGCTTTTGAGACCGTCTCCCATAACTTCCTCATTAAAAAATTAAGAAAGTGTGGACTAGACGAGGGGGCAGTGATGTGGACTGGGAACTGGCTGTGTAACAGAACTCAGAGGGTTGTAATTAATGGAGCAGGGTCAAGTTGGAGGCCTGTAACCAGTGGTGTCCCCCAGGGGTCAATACTTGGTCTAGTTTTGTTCAGCATATTCATCCATGACCTGGATGAGGAGACAGAGTGTATCCTCAGCAAGTTTGCTGATGATGGAAAACTGGGAGGGCTGGCTAATGCTCCAGAGGGCTGTGCTGCAATCTAGCATGACCTGGACAGGCTGGAGAGCTGGGCGGAGGAGAAGCTAATGAGGTTCAACAAGGGCAAGTGTAGGGTCCTGCACCTGGGGAGAAAGAATGCCAGGCACCGGTATAGGTTAGGGGTGAACCTGCTGGAAAGCACTACTAAGGAGAAGGATCTGGGAGTCCTGGTGGATAGTAAACTCTCCATGAGCCAGCAATGTGCCCTTGTAGCCAAGAGGGAGGGTGTGGAGGCCCCTTCCCTGGAGATCTTCGGGACCTGCCTGAATGCAGTCCTGACAGATGTGCTCTGGGCAATCCTGCTTTAGCAGGGGAGTTGGATCAGATGATCTCTAGAGGTCCCTTCCAACTCTGTCAATTCCGTGATACAACCAGGGCAGAGCAGAGAGTATGGTGAGTACTCTAAACGTGGGAGACATGATTTCACCTCAAACAGGGCAAGTTAAAAACATCCGTGGGTTGCACTCAAAGCTCTTCTCAAGACTGGCCAGATGAGTACCCAAGCTGCTGAAACAAGCAGCCAGGGAACACAGCACAGCCACACTGGTGACATCTCCCTGGAATTCTTGTTATCTCCTTTTCCAAATACATCAAACAGCAGATGTCTCAGCTGTGACCCACCGGCTAACAAAGGTGTTGCAATCCCCGATTCTTGAAAACTGATAATCTCTCTCACTTTCTTCCCTCCTCCCCACTCCCTGTCATTTTGTCAGGAGCTATTCCTTCTTATTCTAGAACAGTGTCATTTCTGAGGCACAGATCCTCCCCTCCACCCTTCCCCAAGAGACTTGCTGAGTTTTACCTTAACCAGCATAATCTGTTGCCCAGTTCTATTCTCAATGCTCTTTCCAAGTGGTGTGCTTCTTTGGAGAAGCTGGCCTCAGTGAGAGTTTTAGCTCTGTCTCATCTCAGGAGCCATTTAGGTGAGGGCCGGTTCCATTTGGTTACCTCCCCTCCTGCTGTGTCAGGTTGGTGCAAGGTGTTCATGCCTTGATATGTGCACTCAAACATGTTGCGTTTGATCCCGTTGGACCTTTTCCTGAGCACAATAGAGAAAGTACAGGGCACTTTGTCTTGTGACCATCAGGGCTCACAGCTCTGACATTCTCTTTCTTCTGCTGTGCAGAGCTGTGATAAAAGCAGTATGTGGAAATGTCAGCAGAGAGAGAGAGAGAAAGAAAAACAGTGTCCTCACATCTCATTGCTCCGCAGATGCCTGTTGCTTTTGTTCACAAAGGAGTGAACAACTTGGTCAGCAACCTCTTCATTGCACTGTCCACGCAGGCATTAGTAATGTTCCAGCCATGTGAGAGGGGAGATCCTGCGAGGATATTCCAACCATTTGAAAACCAAGTATGGCCTACGAACTGGAAAGTGGAATTTCTTCTTTACCTGCCAGAGACCTTGACACTTTGGGAGATGTGACAGAGGACTGGAACCATTTCCAGACTGCTCTTCTCAACATCCCTGCCTGTCATATTTGAGAAGGCACTCTGCCTGATGATAAAAGTATTTCTTTCCCACTATTTTCATCTTGTATCTCGTCATCCTTCATCACATCCTCTCCTCTGTCCTCCAACTTTATCTTCTTCTTTCCTGTAACATACCAGCAAAGATATCCACCACCTTCCACTCACAGTGGTTAGGGAGAGAGACAGGCTTAGGGAGTCACAGGTCGGGGACCTTTCAACTGCTCACAGCTAAGAACTCTGGTGAAAACCAGATGATGAGAAGGATGCCAGGCTACAGTTCAGGATGTTTTCTGGATAAGTACCAATGCTGAGGAGGAATTCAGCAAGTGCCTGCAGAGCAACGGGACACAAAGCAACGGTGTGATCCTCTTTATATACTGTGCCTGTCTCAGTGAGTCAGGCACCTATTAGTCTCCCAGGAGGTATCTCAGTGACAAAGCATCTGAAAGAGCTGGGCACAAACCTCCCAGTAGGCAAGCGGAACTTGTCCCTTCAAGCCATACTCCTCCATTTCCTCCAATGTTGGACTTCTTTTAAATTTTTCCCCATTTCAGCTGATCTCTATCCTCTTATTTTTTACTGTCTTTTTATTTTGCTGAAACTCTCTATTTCCCTTTTCTTTTTTTAGGAGGCAGCTGCACAGCCTATTGGCAACTTTGGCAGCTTTTTCATGGACTTTCAATTCCAGTGCCAGCCGGGGTTAGGAGGAGTTAAAACCGGAACCCAGGAACGTCTCTGTCCTTTTGACTCTTGCAGGAAAACTAGGCAATCCAGGTGTAGAGAGCAGCCCCAGTGGCACTGGTGCATGAAGAGAACAAAGCCTAGCAAGAGCTTGCTTCATTCCCCAAGTAGAGCTTTCAGAGAGGTTCCACTAGGGAATGTTCAGTCCTGTGGTTGGGGTGGGGAGTGGGGGCCATGGGATGCGTTTCTGTTGCTGCCTGCTGTTTTCTATCCACAGGAGGAATCTGCAGCCTGTATGATTCAGCTCACTCTGCTGGCTTTTTTAGGCAGTTTTGTAGCACCTGAGGGCATGCTGATAAACAGAAAAGGTGTTCTGCTCCAGAAATGGCTGCCTGTAGCCGAGTGAAAGACTCCTGAAGATGAGTCCGCAAAATGGTCCAAGATCCTGCTAGTTGAGAGGCACTCACTACAAGTATTAAATATTTTCCCCGGAGTGAGATTGCCTGGCCCTGTCCTCCATACCATAAACCCATGGAAGTACACAGAGAAATGTTGCACAGAGAATGGGTGCCTGAAAGTCTTTATTTTTTGATCATTTTGGTACAGTCAGTCCCAAAGCAGAAGAAAATGGTGAGGAGAAGAAAAGAGGTCTCAGTTGGCAGCCATAGTGTCTCGGATCCAGGAGACGTAATTGCAAACCTTGGTGTAAACTCCGGGATAGCCTTCCTGTGCACACCCAATACCCCAGGAAACGATACCCTGGAGCTCACCGTTGCAGACAACTGGACCACCGGAATCTCCCTGTGCACATGAAGGAAAAGGATATTGAGCAAATGGTGTCAGCGTTAGGGGACGAGCCAGAGATCCCAGAAACCACCGACATTCGAGGGAGCTCCATTGGGCTTTTTCTGCACAGAAGTCCTACAAAGGCCATTTCTGATTGCCACTCTCCACCTGACGCTCCTGTGTCTCACTTCAGCTCCAAGGGCACCACAGCTAAGGATGAGTAAGCTGCCTGGTTTTGATGGATGCGGACCCTTAGGACATGGATGTCTTAAACATTATTCAGCCAAATATTTCCATGGAGCCAGGCACAAGTGAAATGCAGAGCAGTTGTCAGGTGTGTTTGTTTTCCAGATGACCTGGACCTTGGCATACTGGCTACCTAATTACCGGTGAGTCCAAAATTAGCACTTGTGTCCTGAGCTCTAAAGTCCCCGTGATTGCTATTGACTCTCTGGGGCAGCCCCTTGCCTTTTCAATACACTACGACGCAGGAGGTGGCAGAGTCTGTGTGTGGAAGCTTAGGGCTGAGGTATTTGCCATCTCAAAAAAGGGACAATGACTGACTGAGTGGAAAAAACCCCAGCCTCACTCAATAAGCTACTTTCATGCCAACTCTCTGCTGTTGTTCAAAAATACAGCAGTCAGACCTGCCAGTGCAGCGAGAATGGCAGATTCTCTACTGTGACGGCCTCGTCTACTAGCAAAAGGCAGGAGAGGACCTTATGGGAAAGGGGAGGCAGCTGTTTTACCTGGCAGGAGTCTTTGCCTCCCTCCAAGTATCCCACACACATCATGTTCTTAGTAATTTGCCGAGGGTAGGCATCGCTGCACTCGGCTGCGGAGAGCACGGGGGCCTTCAGGCACTGCAAGGTGTCTGGATAGTAACCTGGAAGAAAAGAGAGAGAGGTGGTTGATGACATCCCTGAGTTCATTCCAGAGCCCGGAGAAGATCTTTCTTAGCAGAAAAGTAATGACTGAACATCCTGCTCTAGGGGAGGTCATTTTTCCTCTGAGCAGTCATCACAGCATGGATTCCTTTTCTTTAGATGGAACTGCGGCCATGGTATTTTTAACCTAGATAACCTAGAAAACTATCAACTGTCAAGCGTGGAGCTAAGAGCTACTCTTGTAGGCTCAGGAGAAAACCTGAGCCTCAGGAAAACCACCCTCTGCTCTGGGGCAGGTTTAGCTGTCATTAGTGCATTAGACACCAGTCACCATCCACACCTCTGGCCATCGGGGTAAGAGAACGGAGCTCTCCTGTAGTTGTTTGAGATCCACAGTCCCAGATTTTGATCTTGGTCTCAGAGAACTGACAACTCTATGGCCATGAGTGAAATTGCTCGTGCTTGGCGCTGCACAGCTGATAGCGCCAGGCCATAACATTTATGATGGCATGAAGATGCTGGTGAACAGCACATGGCTGACTTAAGTGAGTCCATGTTTGTCCCACAGAACAAGAGGAAGGACCTTATAGCAGATTTCCTTTTGGGCAGCTCAGTGGTTACTGTCCTACAGAGACTGATGAGTGCAAAAGGCCTGTCCCACAGCACCTGTCTGTGCTTTACCCTCTACTGTTTGGAGTTAAGGGAGGTCTCAGGGTGTCTCCTGGCCCTCACCATGCTGTACATCCATCCCCACAGATACTCACTGCCGCTGCTGAGGGTGTTGCCCCAGCCAGAGATGAGGCACATGGTGCCTGTGGTCACACAGCTGGTAGGCAGAGGAATGGTTTGGACAGCCCTGTTGAGCTGAGCTGGTGTGGAAAGCTTGATGAGCATAATGTCATTGTCCAGTGTGTAGGCGCTGTAGCCAGAGTGGCGGATGACTTTAGCCGAGTTAATAAACTGCTGAGTCGATTCTGTGAGTTCCAGGTTGTGTTTCCCGAGCTGCACTTGGATGCGCCTGGAAAAAAGAAGGAATGCATACACTTTACTGACACTGACAGGGTCTGGAGAACCTCCCCGTCACCCTCTGCACTCGCTTCCACATCGCTATCATAGGAGCTGTTTTCATGCAGGTTCTCTTTATGGTCCTGCAATAAGTGCTGATGGATTAGAAGCTTCCTGTGGAAAGGGGAAAGAGGCTCACTAGGACTCTGCATGGCAAAAATTACCAAACCTCTAATCCCATCATAACTAAGCAGAGCAAGAGGAATTCCTAATCTACAAAAGTGTATGATTTGATCTCCCTGTGGATTTATAACTTATCTGTCCAAAACAACTAGAGGCTCCTGTGAATCCCAGAGCTCGGGGCTGTGTGCCAGCAGGGCAGCTCATGGAGCAAAATGATCTCAGATGAAGGCAAAAGGGGTGTTTGTGATGCACAACTCAGGGGCCATGCAGCAGACAATGCTTCCAAATAGCCCTCTAGACCTTTCAGTGAGAACTCTGTGAAGGAGGCTGAAATTAGAACCCCTCCTCCCATTTCTCTTACCCGGCGTTCAGGGACACCTGGTAGGGGACAGAGTGCTCTGCACAGGTGTAGCCTCCCACGATCTTGTCATCATCACCATCAGCGTTGAGGGGGAGGGCAACTGGGAGACAAGAAGTGGCATATGTCAACATCTGGCATAAGGCATCCCGTGCCCCTGTGACTGACTGAAGCATCTCCCTTGGAGGCTCGACTTCTCTAAAAACTCACAATATCAGTGGTGGGCAAGGACTTGCTCATAGTCCAAAACTTTACAGCAGCTTTAGGACTTCCTGGTCCAGAGGTGTGATACCTTTATACCTTGATAGTCTTTTACGGGAGAGACAGTCTATTTTTGAAGCTATGGACTCAATTCCTGGCTCAAGAACAGGGAAAGGTGGTGAGACCATGTGCTGACAGAGCTAGAGCTTCCCAGGAGCATGAAGTGGAGGAGTTCTGAGGCTGGTCCTTGTACATCTCACAGAGCTTGGTGGTGGAGGAACCACTGATTCTCTCTTCCCAGGTCTCTCTCTCTACCTTGTAGGATCTGGTACATTCTCCAAAAGGTCTCACTCTATAACTCACTACACCTGAGCAAACCTGCTTTCACAGCTTCTTGCCTGGTTCTTTCTGCCTGTGTTTCTCTTTCCCCAGTGGCCTTATCGCTAGTCCAAGGTTTTCTCCAGGCAAAAAGTACACAGTGGAAAATTGGAAGATCCAAATGTGGTCATTAACAGGCACTGGTAGAAAGCATAAAAAACTTATCAGTTAGTCATAAACCTTTCCTAAGATAGAGAGCTATTTTAAATGATATCAGAGGGTAGCCTTCAATTTAAAAATACATTTTGGCTTTGGAAGATGTGAAGTTGTTTGTTGGTCTCATTCGTATGTGCAGCAACTGTTGAGAGCAACCCTCAAATCCCCTTGGGATTCCCCTGTGCTGGTGGTTCCATTATGAAAAATGCATCTTTTTGCTGGAAGCTGAATATTGTAGGTAATGGACAGTAAGATACTATGCCTTGATTTTGAAAAAAAAGAAAGCAAAACAAAGCAAAAGAAACTCAGATGCTTTCAGTTTTAAGTTTGTTAATTTTATTTTAGCCATGCATTTTCCCGAGTAATGTCTGCATATGTTTTTTGTTGTATAGAACACAGTGTTTTCCCAAACAAAATTATTTAAAAATAATTTCAATGAGGACAAAAAACCACATTATGTTCCCCCACCCTCCCTTCCAGGTTAAATAGTAAAATGTGTGAATTCTCACCACATCTCTTTGAAAACATTTCTCTCACCTAATCCATATGACAATATTGGACTAAGTACCAAACCACATTTTGTTCTATTTAGCTTTGGAACATTCTATGGATACGAATTTTTGCCACAGAAGCATGTCAGTACAACATTGATGTTTATGGATGTGATGTGTACGAACTAAAATACTGTGAACACAAACAATGAGATCTTCTGAAATCCTTCTCTGAAAGAGTGATCATTTCTCTCATGGCACTGAGTTTGTTAAAGCTTAACGCATTTGGTGAATGATTGTTTTCCAAGCATTTGCCAACTTCATCATGCTGGCCCCTGAAAGATATGGGGTACCCCTATGTGACTGGAAACAGAAGTCATATACTTTGAGATGCTGACATGGCATGAGAGACTCAATTGGAATCATCTTTCTCCTCCATTTCTTGATCAATTTTTGGAGAGTGCTGGAAGACTGGTACACGGAGTGGCACTGTCCAGATGGAAGTTTTCCTTCATGTTACAGGAGAAGCCCAAGGCCAAGGGACTCCTCCAAGGAGCTGCCTGACTTGTCCTGGGCTTGAAACTGGTATCAGTGCACAGTTTTCTTACACACGTGGTTCATCCTGAGAAACAACTATGGATTAGAAGCTTCCTGTGGAAAGGGGAAAGAGGCTCACTAGGACTCTGCATGGCAAAAATTACCAAACCTCTAATCCCATCATAACTAAGCAGAGCAAGAGGAATTCCTAATCTACAAAAGTGTATGATTTGATCTCCCTGTGGATTTATAACTTATCTGTCCAAAACAACTAGAGGCTCCTGTGAATCCCAGAGCTCGGGGCTGTGTGCCAGCAGGGCAGCTCATGGAGCAAAATGATCTCAGATGAAGGCAAAAGGGGTGTTTGTGATGCACAACTCAGGGGCCATGCAGCAGACAATGCTTCCAAATAGCCCTCTAGACCTTTCAGTGAGAACTCTGTGAAGGAGGCTGAAATTAGAACCCCTCCTCCCATTTCTCTTTCCTTTCTTTAAGATGACAAATCCCTACCTGAAATGTAAATACCCTCTTCTGCTCAACGCTGCTGAACATTCCACACATGCATAGCAAGGTTTTTTTCAGGGTCTTTCAGAAAATACATGCCAGGGATACATCTCCAGGTACAAACAGGTCTCTCATTTAATGCAAAGATGCTGCAGCAGAATGGTGGGAGCTCCAGGGGCTGGGGAAAGAGGAGGATTGGTGAGTGGAAAGCAGCCGTGTTAGATACTATCAATGGTCAAGCAATGGCAGCTTGTTTTTTCAGAAATCGATGTTCCTAGTTCAAGTATGCCAGTCAGCTCTATCATTACTGGACTCAGGTAAAGTAAATACATTTGGCCAGGCTGATGCAAGGTCCTGGGAAAGGGAAAGGTGGTGAGACCATGTGCTGACAGAGCTAGAGCTTCCCAGGAGCATGAAGTGGAGGAGTTCTGAGGCTGGTCCTTGTACATCTCACAGAGCTTGGTGGTGGAGGAACCACTGATTCTCTCTTCCCAGGTCTCTCTCTCTACCTTGTAGGATCTGGTACATTCTCCAAAAGGTCTCACTCTATAACTCACTACACCTGAGCAAACCTGCTTTCACAGCTTCTTGCCTGGTTCTTTCTGCCTGTGTTTCTCTTTCCCCAGTGGCACAGCATTCTGCTTTTCTTCTATTTCCACCCATGTCAGAGACTTGGATTCTCAGTCTCTTAGAGAGACAGAAAAGGCAGGACATGGCAGTGGTGTGTAAAGTTATGAGTGGCTTGGGGAGACGGGGGAAGGATGGTTTGCTTGCTGTCTCTTCCTGTACAAGAATTAAGGGGTTGCAAGCAAAGCTAGGGGCTTTGGCGGTTTATAAAAGAAGCAAAGGACAATTCCTCCTCTTTTAGGAAATCTATGAACTCCTTTCCACAGGTTTTTGGGGATGCAAAAAGTTTACATGGCCTCAAATAATGAAGGGATGCATTTGTGGAAGAAAAATCAATTGAGGGCTATGAGGTTGAAAGACATCCCATCTGGCCTTCCCTGTCCCGTGGAATCTCCTGGTGTTAGGCAGCTCCGTGCTGCTATAACCCAGTGAGAGACCAAAGAGAAATGCAGAAGTCTCTAGACTCTCACTCATCTGCCAGAGCGTCTCCCATGACCCAGAGAAGGATAGTCAGTGCTGCTGAAGTCCTGCAAGAAATTTTGGAGGGTTCCCCAAACTCATTCCTTCATTTGCTGGAGCTTAGATGGGGTCCTGATAGCAGCTCAGCCCTTTTTGAGCAGGATGGGAGGGCTCAGGTCAGGTCTGACCTGACAAAGACTTGTGTTAGAAGGTGGGTTTGTCAGAGTACTGCTGTGTTCTTGTTCAGGCTGAGACAGGAAGTGGGAAGGGGGCTTAAATCTTGGGAATATTTGCCCTAATGGTTCCTAGTTCTGGAAGGAGCTTGTCTGGGAAGTAAAATACCTAGCTTTCCTAGGCAGCCTAATGACCCTCAGAGCATATCTTCTCAGATGATTCCTCTTGTGTTCAGGCAACAGTCAAGAATGTAACACAAATTTGCTCCTCCATTGCTCTTTCCTTGAACTGGGGTAGCTGTGCCCTTCAGGTTGGGACTCTGCAGGGTGCTGGGCCTGAGGCTGGATTTGTAAAGAACAGTCAGATCCTACCACCTCAGCCCTGCCTGAGCCAAGCCCTGATATATCACCATCAAGTTTCTTGGTACCGCCAGTCTCCATCATGGCTTACCACTTGTCACTCTCTCTACCACTCCCTTTTGCCTCAACTTTGTTTTCTTTTCATTCACATTCTCCAGTTTCTCAGGGATGGAAGATTTAGGCTTGGAGACTTCAAAGCCATGCCAACAAACTACCACAGTCCCCAGTCAGTGGCTCATAAGTGAGGCTCTTCCCATTGTCCTGCTATGGGTCCTCCAGGGAAGGATTTCTCTCTGTGCCCTAGTGGGATTTCCACTTTTCCAGCTTGTGCATATGGGGAAACTGTGACCAGAGTAGGATCTTGCTAAAGTACAAGGTATAGTGCCTCGTAGTGTTTACCATGATTTGGCCCCTGCCAGGCACGGACAGAGCTGCTGCAACCCCAGACAAAGCATGAACCACAGTGCATGAGAGCACGAAGGGCTACCTTTTCCACAGGGCCAATTGCCCCATCCCAGAGCTGAACTGAAGTCCAATAGGCAAGAGACCAGGGCAAGTGTGAGAACACTGATTCCTACCCTGTTCCATTTCCTAAGCCTCAAGTTATGTCGCTCTTCTTGAAGCTAGGGAAAGAACTGAGGTATCCAGATCCCTAAACCCATGTGGAGAGAGAAGCCAGGCATTCTGTCCCTCCCCTTGACAGCAGATACGAGTGATTAGAGCCAGGCAAAAATTCACCCTGCTAGGAGAACACTAAGAACTTTTATTTTGATGAATGAAAATCTTTGATTACCTTTGTGATTCCCTGTTTCCCAGTGGCGGAACTCCACCGCGCCGATTCTCAGCGGAGGGACCATGGCTGAGCCAGAGTCACACGAGGGTGTGGGTGTAGTGGTCAGATGGTGAGCTGCAGTGAAGTCTTGGAAACAGCCCCCTTATCCCAGCAGAGCCTGCAGTGTCTCCCACAGCAGAATCAGCAGAATCAACAGCCTCCTCCAGACTCTCTGCAGGTGAAAGAGAGACATTGGTGATTCTCCCAGGTGGAGAGAAGAGGGGGAGATGGGATAGGACTGGTAGCCAGGACACCTGTGTTCTCACCTAAGTGTCAGGTAGGTAGAAGGAAAGGACTAGGAGGCCAGATGCTCATAGGGCCATGACTTGATCTGCTGGGCAATAGCCCATGAGCCCATGGGATGGGACACAGGTGTGATCATTTTCACAATGGCATTCACAGGACTTTCTGTGTTCCCTTATTACACTAGGGAGATGTACCCCAGGAGGAGGAGGAAGAAGAGGAGGAAGAGAAGGAAGAAGAGGAAGGGCAAAGAGTCTATCTTCCATGGTTGGCTCTGAGCAGAGCAAGGCTCTTCCTCTCCACCCACAGAGAACAGCCTAACCTAAGCAGGACCCTTGCCTAATGTGCTAGGCACTTCACAGTGGCCCAGGAGGCATTGTATATGTCAGCCATAAGGTTTGTGCCTCTGTGTGTGTCTCTGTGTGCACGCACAAGGCTGGTATGTGCAACCATGGGATTGTGTGGCAGTGTCTCTGTGTGTGAGAAATGGTGTGTGTATAATGGTGCGTGATCACAACAGGGTGTGTGTGTACAGGGAGAGTGCTCAACACTGTTTCTGGGTGTATACATGGAATGAGTGTACGACACTGTGTAAGTACACAGCAGTATATATGTGTGTGTGTGCACACCATGGTGTGTAACCAACAGTGTGCATATGCAGTGATGTGTGTGCATAGACAGCCAGGTGTGTTTCTGTTTGTGTGCTTTCATCCATTTGTTCTTGTCCCTTCCTATCCCCAAACATGATTTCTGTGAAACTGCTCTCCTCTCACTGTCCTGCTGCACCGGGGAGTGACTGGAAACAAGTCCATGGTCTGGGATTGCAATTAATTTATCCGGTAAACCAGGAATCCTGGAGATCTCACATAATGGGCAGAGGAGGGATAGGGGGAGAGAATCATCGTCACTGGAAACAGCCTTATTAGGGGCAGGGGGGAGGACAACCTGCCTAGCTCTGGGTGGCCACATATGGTGACCGGAGGAGAGGGGATCTCTTTTCTGGCACCCTCTGGGACACGATACGCACCCTACAGGCAGAAGAAGCTGGAGGGGACTGAATGCCTGAATGGTGGGGTCCTTCGCCCTTCAGTGGGGAGATTGAAGGTCTTAGTGGAGTAGAAGTGAGGAAATGGGGGAAGCAGCCCAGGTGTCCAAGCTGTACTGGACAGATTAAAGTCCCATGTGTGAAGAAATAAAGGTCTTACATTTGTGATAATTGTGCCTGTCTTATAAGTAGGGAGGGTGTTTTTGCTGACATCCAAAGATGTCCCCTGAGACAGAGCTCACTGCTGTGGACTTACCACTGGTCCTGCACCTGTCATGGCAAGGACAACAGTGATTAACAGCCAGAAATGAAATCTCTCCACATGGAGGCAGAGAGCAAGACCCAGGCATCTGGCTTTTCAGTACCTCCTCTTTCTGTGTCACCACTGTTACCTGCTCCATGCCTAGAGCCAGAAGGAATCCAGATGTTGGAGCTGCTGTCTCTTTTATGCCCAGCCCCATACTTCTTTCCCGATAGAAAGGCAATGAATCTGATTTGAGGTGGAGTACAGAAAAACCTTCCCATTTTATGTGCTGGGTGTTTTATTTGTCTCGTAAATAAACCCCAGGAGAACATACAGTTGGATCAGTTGCAGTTAAGATTTTGGACCACGAGGTGACACCATTAACTGCTGAAAAGAGCAGGAGACTCTGCTGCTCCGTGCTCATATGTCTCCCCTCACATCCCTGATCCGCACCTCGCTCCTCCCAAGGGTGCAGAGAGGTTTCCAGCCCCACTCGGGCATTCAGCACCCCCCTGTTGATGCTCCAACAGCTGAGCCCTAAACGCACTGCCCACCACTCCCAGCAGTTGTTCCCGGTAATCCATTAACACCCAGATTCCCAAAACCCTTGGCCCCTCCCTCACCCGACAGAAGGTCCCCAGCCAAGAGGGGGATGTATGCTCCCCTGCCACCTCAGCACCACCGGTTAATTAAAAAACACCCCCCACCCCCTTTCCCCAAAAGTGACTGTGGGATGCTTTTCCTTCATCTGTCTGTAAACCTCCTCTTCCTCAGGGAACCCCACATTCAGGCATACCCTGATCTAATTCCCAAAACCCACTTCCCTCCAAGAAAAACAAGGTGTCTGGGCTGCTACCCCTGGCTCGAATCTGCAGACATGCCTGGCTTCACAGAAGAAGCTGAGGAAGCCAGCATAGAGGCAGTCCTTCCCACTCCCAGATCTACAAAACGCTCCAAGAAAAGAAGAAAGATAACCACTTCACTGGAGCATGAAGTAAATAGGGAACACTGGAGGCCAGTTCTCCCAGGTTCAATGGGAAGGATGGGTGGGTGCAACACAGCTGAGTATTCTTCATGTGCACAGCTGAAACAGCCATGGCTCAAGCAGGCATGCATCCCATTTATATCAGTTCCTCCCCATTTCTCATCCCCAAAAGGCAGCCTCAGGCCTCCACCTCCTTCATATGTAGCTCTCTGCTCCTCTCAGCATCGAATCATAAGGCTCTGGATCTATGGAGAAACACAGATGGGAAAGCAAGTCTGCAAATGGTGACCATAGAGAACAGAGCAACATGGAGCGGGTGAGGATGTACAATTTCTACATTTGAATTTATTTGGAACCTTGTGGGAGCCACAAGCTTGCAACCCACAACACCAGATACCTAGAACATGGGCTCATCAAGCTGACAAACCTCCAGGAAGAGGCAACCCAGGAATTACCTGGAGCCAAACGCATGGTCTGTCTCCCCACCTGCCCTGTGTTGGCAGGCAGTGGGGTCTATGGCTTAAAAGGGCGAGGGAGGCAACAGGAGCTAAATTGTGAGTTGTCATCACCCACAGCAAGAGACATCCCAGGTGAGCCATCGGGTGGCCATAGGATGGTGACCAGAACGATGACCAGGATGAAAAAGTCCTGGAGAAGTTTCAGATGGGATTGCTGGGACCTTTGCTGTTTCCTAGCATCTGGTCTGGGCAACCCACTGCAACCCTTGCTGGTTGCTGCTAGACAAGAGGCACTGACTTGCCAACTCTTCTTCCACTCTTTTGCCATTCACTGGCACCGGAGGTAAAGTCCCCAGGGAAAGCTGATGCTCAGGTATATTTTCACAGTCTACCAAGGGACAGAGGCAGAGGAATCCTTAATGAGTGTGAGGCATAGGTCAAGTCAGGGGTGTTCCAGCTCATGCTGTAGCTGTAGGGAAAGGGACATGCTGTCTGGCGTGCAAGTGAACTGTGCAACAGCATGGTCTCCACTTGTTGATCCAGAATCTCCTGTTTAGCATTTGCATACAGTTTTCCCTATGTCTTTCACTGAACTTTTTTCCTCACAGAAACACATCCCACTAGGCTTCACCTTCCCAGCATAATGAGGTGGGAGTACCACCAGGGATCCTAGCCCATGTCCACATCTTCTCTTTCCCTGTCACCAAGTAGAGCCCCAGTCACAGGGTCCGACAGTTCCTATGAGGAGGGAAAGGTGCTGCCAGCAGGGCTCATCATGGGGAAGAGACCTCTGTCATTTGTTGCCCTGGTTCCTTTCACTATTGTCACTCTCCCTGATGTTCATCCTTGTGCTCATGGGGTTCCCCACTAGCCTGAGCTGAGTTTGCCCCATTCCAGAGAGGCCATGTGGCTATCCTTCTGGGCAGAAACACGTGAGGGCACCATGGAGAGGATGGCAGTAGTTTGAATCTGTTGAGCTTGTGATCAGAGCAGTGGTGAGGTGTCACTGGTAGAGCAGGAGTCAGTGGAATAGCGCTGGACAGGTGCTGTCAAGAAGCCCGTGGTTCTCACTGGCCACATCCAAGCCGCGTCCCTCTCAGTTTCCCCACCTCTGAAGGACAAGTTCAGTCCTGCCAGAAATGGAATCCTTCTCTTACAGGTTGATTCACAGGGCAGGGGGGCCAATGACACAGATGGTTTCAGCTGATGAGGACTGCTTGAATTTACCAGACAAAATGTACTGCTGAAGCAGAGCTGACAGGAGCCCTTGCCCTGGAGGCAGCATCAGGCTGAGACACCAAAGGGTCCCCAGGTAGGTACCACGTCCAAAGGAGAAATCATCTCTAAAGGAACTTGGGCTGCTGCCTGTCACTAAGGAAAATGGAGACAGAGGCCGCCCTAGTCCTCAGCTTCTCTTCTCCCTCATGCCTCCCTCTTTGGGCCAACTCAAGTCTTTCTTTTGTCCTTCCTGTGCCAGCGCTTTGACTGTCCCTGGGCTCTTCACAGGCCTTTACATTCCTCTCTTACTCCTCTCACCAGCTCTGCTGCACCAGAGCTGAAGGGAACCACATGTGCATCTACACATATACACACGTGTGCATGTGCACACACAGACCGACCCCTCATATGCTTCTAAAAACAAACCAACCAGCCATGGCTGCAGGAAAGAGGGAAAATACAAGGGGAAATATAAGGGGGCCTATGTGTGTCCCTCATATCACAGTTCTCCTCCTCTCGAGGACTTCAGGAAGAGAAGGGGAGCTCTCAGCTTTTCTCTGCCTTGCACACACTCAGACTCCCATCCAACCTCAGCACGGTTCTCTCCATGCAACCCCCTTCTCCCCTCCCCATGCACACACACACACTGCTCTGCCCCCATCTCTGCAGGGTTTATGTGTGCGTCCTTCCCCAGAGTCCCCAGCCAGCCAATCCTTTCTCACTCTTCACGTCCTGCCCAACCCCAGCATGTCTCGTAGGTCTCATCCTCACTCAGGGCTTCCTCTTCACACATCTCTGGGCAGCTGCAAAAGGCAGGTCCCAAGAAGGAGAG